CACATCAAACTTAGATAATAGCTAATAGTTCAATAAAACAGAGACATAGTTCATTACTCAAAATATCTTATTGAACTAATTCAGTCTCACACCAGACCGGACAATGCGGATCACAATAATATGACACATTTCAAAACATTAACCTAAAACACTGTTATTTTCAGCGTTTTCATTTCAACGGTTCCATCCAAAAACGCTAGAGTCAAATAACTACTCCTTTCGTCCCTCAATGTTTGTCCTACTTTCCCAATATGGATGTTCCAAAATGTTTGTCCTATTTTTTTCTTTCCTTATTTGGCAAATAAATCTTTATCAAACAGTGTCAAACAGTGTCGCTATAATGTCAAACAGTGTCACTACAGTGTCAAACAGTGTTGCCACAGTGTAAAGTCAAATTCATTTCCTTAATATTTGTGAAGTCAAACTAGGACAAACATTGAGGGACGGAGGGAGTATTTACCAAACAACGTTTTGATTTGTTCAAAACACTAAAAATTGTCAAATTGCTACTTTTTTTCCTTTTCTGAAATAGCATACTTTAAATGCCCCTAGTCAAGTCATTTTTCTGCATAACTTCTTTCCGGCCATGTTCATTGTCATACCAGTTGATATCTTCGTATTTTACAAGGAGACGAATAAATGAATAATGATTGTGATTCTACCCCCTGTCCCTAATTAATTTGCCAAATGTGACCGACACGGAAATTAATAAAGTAAAAAATGTGTGGTTGAAGTTTGTGCATGAGAGAGAAAATTAACTAGAATCACAAATTCTTTACTTGTTAAGTCACGAGATTCCATCTTAAAAGGTCAACCTGTTAGGAGGAGTAGTCCATGTGTTAATATAGCACTTTGTTCATCCAAATGTTTCCGGTGTGGGACATTTAACACCCCTCCTCACGACCAGACACTTCGTCTGGATCGTGCAATCATTCATTTTTTTTTCGTCGGTCCATTTTTTTCATCCGGCCGTAATCGTCATTTTTTATAATCGTGTCATCACGATTCATAAGGGGCCCCACATCATGGATCGCTTTGGCTCTGATACCATGTTAAGACCCGGAGTTTCATCTTAAAAGGTCAACCTGTTAGGAGGAGTAGTCCATGTATTAATATAGTACTTTGTTCATACAAATGTTTCTGGTGTGGGACATTTAACATTACTTAAAAGAAAAATTAAGTGACAAAGTTAATGAGACATCAGAAAAAGGAAAGTTGACAAAATTATAAGGGATAGAAGGAAGTAGTTTCTAAAGGTTGGAATGGGTGCCCATCACAACCCCCAAGGCCCCAACCACTCAAAATTCATATCTGCTTTAAATGCATGTGCCCTGGTTATATATAGTAGGCGAAGTCGTCCCTATGAAAATGACTTTCATATTTGATTTTGCCGTAAGATGTTTATGTTTGATTTCAATAACTTTATTTAAGTTAAATTTCATATTTGATGCAAGAAAAGGTTAAATTTCAGATTTGGTAGAATTAGTAGAAGGGTGTTAAAATAAAATATTTGCATGATATGTGACCTAACTATTGAAATTATTTGTGAAATATAAATTTAGCGGTCAAATTAAATCTCAACAACTCCAAAAAAGTGAAATGTGATGTTAATTCAACTCAGAGGAACCATATATAAAAGTAACAATTAAGAGAGTTAGTTACTTAGAATAAAGAATTTGTATTAAATTAGATATAAATTAGCGGTCAAATTAAATCTCAACAACTCTAAAAAAGTGAAATGTGATGTTAATTAAGAGGAACCACAAAAGTAACATTTAAGATTTTTTTTTGAAAATAACATTCATGAGAGTTAGAAACTTAGAATAAGGAATTGTGAAACAACTTTTATCAAACAACTAAATTTTATGAACGTTACATGTTCATCAGTTCATGGATCGGATTGCCATGTTTTTTGTTGCAATAAATGTCAATAAAGCCGTTGTCAAATCTTGTGGGCGTACTTAGGATAGTGACAGTACACTAAAAAAAATAAAAAAATTAGCATGGGAGGCACTTAGCAAAGAATGTAATAGTATCCTCCTCCCAAATTGTTTTGTAGAATCAATACTTTGATATTGTTTTGTAGAATCAATACTTTGATATCTTAATTAAATGAATAAAATAAATTACTCCCTCCGTCCCATTTATTTTGTCTCGTTTTACCTTTTCGGGAAGTCCCACTTATATTGTCCCATACCATATTTGACAAAGTTTGTGTGGGTCTAAATCATTCTTACTTTATTCTTACTTTATCAATTAATATCAACCACACAAACCCACTTTTCTTAATAACCGTGTCACCCTCTTCCGGGACAATATAAATGGGACGGAGGGAGTAGTTTACTTAAAAAATCAAATTTGTAACTCAATTTGTTAACTATCCATCTTATACGTTTCATTAGCTGTTTTTCTTTTGCCACAATTTGTAATTGATTTAGCTCACTTAAATTTTGAACTATTACAAGAATATAATGATGTTAAAAGAAAAACATTTGTATATTACTTGAGTTTTCCCTTTTTTGGAAAACCTTTTTAACAAATTGTAATATGTGTTCTGTTAAGACCAATATTCTTGAATTGAGATGAGATTCGAATCTTCTACCTTCACTTTGAAAGTATTATAGTGATGTTATAGTGAGTATTGCATAGCAATACACGTACCGAGTATAATACTCCCTCCGTCCCAGGGAGAAGTTCTCGGGTTGACTTTCACACATTTTTAGGAAATAAAGTTACTGAGGGGTAAATTTTACTGTTTTGCACTGTTTCGACACTGTTTGGCACTGTTTCGACACTGTTTGGCACTGTTTGGTACTGTTTGACACTGTTTTAATGTAGGATAACTTTCCATTTAGGGAAATGAGAAGTTTCTTTTGGGACATCCAAATAAGGAAATTAGGAACTTCTCCCTGGGACGGAGGGAGTATTCTATTAGTGGTTAGGGGTTACAGTTCAACAACCCTCATAAAGAGAGTCAAACGTGACATATGTTTGGAGGAATTAAGATGTAAGAGAGTTACAACTACAAAGCTACATAATAGGAGTACAAAACTTGATAAACGTTACATTTTCATCGATGTCACACCTGTGTTATTAGTTGTGTATTCTGCCATAAATGTCAATAAAGCAGTTGTCATTTGTGCAACTTCCCTTTCATGGGTGGTTCATGTGGGCCCACTTTAGCCAATGACAGTAAAATGAGTGTAATCAACGATAAGTATCATTTCTGACCACAAAAACTCCTATGTTAGTGGAAAAAGAAATAGAAAGAAAAAATGAGGAGTGTATGTGTATTAGAAAAGAGACGCTCTCTCCCGACCGGATTATGAGTAAGGTTGGGGGCTGACTTGCCGTCATTGTGTTAAGGTTTATGTTAGGGATGAAGTGGGAGTGTCTACATATCTCATACTTGAGATACTTTCTCCGTTCTTAAATAAGTGCAACAATCAAAATTTCACATTTGTCTAGACACACCTTTGACCATTAATATATATAACTCTCTATTAGTAAAAAAAGTTAAAAAATAGATTTTGAAAATTTACAATGAGACAAATTTAGTAATATTTTTTTCAAAAAAATATATTAATACATCAATAAATAAAATGTAGTCAAAGTAGAACATGAGAATAGTATAAAATTTAGAATGTTGCACTTATTTAACAAGGGATAGTAATTATTTGGAGGCTTTGGGTTAAAGTACTCAGTGAGGAAAAGGTCTTTTGAAATGATGATAGATTAAGTGGTCACGTAAACAATGTTACGCTTGCCTGAAAAGTGGCAGAGTGAGAGTTGACCTTTTGTTGGTAACCTACAATTTTTGATCAATCACTGGCAGGAGTTGCGCTGTGAATATGAAGACACGTAAATTCAATAGGTTAAAAGTGTTTTCTTGTGTGCGCGGTTGTGTATAGAAGAATATTTGGAACAAACGGATTACTTGAGCGACATGGATTCAGTTCTATCACGGGTTTGAGGTAAGTTTTTGAGAGCACAAGATTAATCCAGTGAAATCGGGGTTACTTGATGTTAAAACAAAAAAGAATGTTTACGGAAGGTCGATAATTTACCTACTTCACGCTATGTGTGAAATTTCTAAAATGTTTCTACGAGGTATCTTTTCCTAGGTTGTCCTACTCAAATTGCACAAACACATGCTTCAAGATTATCATTTTGTTAGCGAAGATAGATGTTGCGAATGAAGATTTAGTTATTGGCTATGTACCCACTCATGGCAGGTGCCACCCATTTTTACCTAAGAAATGTACCCCATCTTGCCGTCCGGTCAATGGTGGGGTCTTCAGGGATCTCAGGGATGATGTGTCATCCTTTTATTGCTAAGTTAAGTTATAGTTTGTAATACTATACTCCGTATGTCTTTATATACTACGTATAAGATAAAACTTCATCTAACAAATTTATTATGTGTATTAATTTAAATTTTTCACTGTGACTTAACATCCATCTTTGTTAATAAATTGAAAATATATGATTTCTATCTCTTGTCCATGATAATATCCGTACAAATTCCTTAAATGGAACTAAAATACTCCGTATTAAATATACAAATAGAAATAATTAACTATGTTTTATTGGTAAAACGAGATTCATTCAATCCTAATTAAGAAAGTTTTATAGTTTTAATAGGATCAAATAAATTCTAATTTTAAAATAAAATAATTAACCAGGTTTATACACTTTAGCTATGCTCTAATCCTATCTGAACCAATTTCTTGCTACTTTTGGAACATAAAAAAATGAATGGTTATATTCTAGATAGGTAATTTCCCTCATACATTTACACCCAACGAGCCAGTGCACCTAGCTTTGTCCAAAAATTTTTGGACGTACGTTTAAATAAGGGTTCTGACTTCATTAGTAGTCATCATCGTACATACCCTTAACCACCCACATCTAGGCCAACAACTTGCAAGCTAAGAGATCAGATCAGATCGAGGATTTTTTTTTCACAAGAAATATGGATCGGAGGGTAAGGTCGACCCCCAGACTCCAGTACTATATATAAAGATGAGGACCAAACTCTACCCACCCATCTTTTGATAATAGCAACAATCAATCTTCTTTGATCGAAGCGGCGGAAAATGTCTCTGGTGACGGATGAGATAAGGCGCAGCGCCACAGAGTTCTACGAGGGAAACGAACTCTGCCAGGAGAAGTCGAAGGTGCTGCTCAGAGAAGTGGGGCTGCCCGCCGGGCTGCTGCCCATGGAGGACATGGAGGAGTGCGGCTACGTCAAGGACACCGGGTTCGTGTGGCTCAAGTCCAAGAAGAAGACGGAGCACAAGTTCCAGGAGATCGGGAAGCTGGTGCAGTATGGTTGCGAGGTGACGGCCCATGTGGAGCAGAACAGGATCAAGAAGCTCACGGGGGTCAAGGCCAAGGAGATGCTGCTGTGGGTCACCATCAGCGAGATCTCCGTGGACGACCCGCCCACCGGGAAGATCTACTTCAAGAGTTCTCTCGGCGTCGGCAAGACCTTCCCGGTTTCCGCTTTCGAGATCCCGGAGGAAGAGAAGAAGGAGGAGAAGAAGACAACGGAAGTCAAGGAGGTGTAATGAAGGGTAGTTATTTGAAGGCCAGGGTAGTTACGTCCATCTTTTGAAGGGCAGTTCTTAATTGAAGGGTAGTTCGATATCATTATCCCAGAAAATCGGAAAATGCATCATCAAGCTCGGATCTGTACGCGTGTCCTAGCTAATTCTCCCTGTTCTGTTTTATCAAGTCATTATAGAGTCATAAGTTCTTTGCTGTTTCTGTTCATCATAAAATATATTCTCATCATACCAACTTACAAAATATTCTCCATCCCCTTTAACTCTATGTATTAAAGTTACTTTTCAAGATGCCCTTAATAATACTTTCTATATTTCTATTGTCGTCCCTAAATTAACATTCCTATTTGACTTTATGAGTTATTTGGTAAGAAAAACTAAAAATTAACTTTTTAAGATTATCCTCGATAATAATATACGGAGTGGTAAAGAGAATTAGTGGTCCAAATAAATTTATAAATACATTCAAACTAAAAGTTATCAAAAAAAAAGTCTAAGTTAATTTTGAGACAACCCGCATACTCCCTCCGTAACTTACCCGCTTCAAAAGTAGGTAGATTAAGAATAGTGAAAGGAGATATAATTAAGGTCATGTTTGTTAATGACTACTAGGGCTGAAATTGGTGAAAAGCCTGAAAAAGGCTGAATTACCAAAAGGGTAGTTTAAAAAAATGGACCTTGCTCAATAGCCATCCAATAAGCCTTCATTTGGTGTCAACCCCTTCTCCATTATTCCGCACCAGTCAAATTTCCCAACAAATTAAAATCCACTTTTCCATAGCTCCTGCAAAAATTCCTCCACCCAATGTAGAATTCCGTTTGCACCAGAGCCTATAACTCCCAGCGTAATTATTGCCATAATTCCAACAAACCAGTGCAGGGCCGATAATTCCAAATCCCACCCAACAAATAATGAACACCCAACAAACCAGTGCAGGGGCCGATTTGGAGATTAGGAGAAGCCATCGATTTGGTGTCAAGAAGCCGGAAGGAGGAGACGATCGGCATATAAAAGTGGGCAAAGGAGTCATTACAAAAGCAACCATGAATTAATATGTTTGAGCTGAAAAAATAGGGGTGGGCACGGTCCGGGACGGTCCGGGATTTGACTTATCCCGATCCCATCCCAGTTTTATAATAACGGCCTGGTACGGTACAGGATGAGTCTTTATCCCAATGTTGTCCCATTTAAAATGGGACCGGGACAACCCGAGAAAAACCGGGACTATTCGGGGTGTCCCATAAAAAATATGCATTTGTGAAATGTGATATAAAAATAAGCATAACATCAAAATAAAGACGTAAATATTTTTGCAAATATAGTTTCCCTAAAAACATTAAGGATGTTTTCTTTTGGACTGAAATTTGCTGGTCTGGTCTCATCTGGTCTGGTAAACGTCTAGTCTCTGTGTATTTTATAACTACAGAAATTTGGTCTGGTCTTGTCCAGTGGCGGATCCATGAAACGGAGCTATTCTGAGCAGAACAAAAATGACGTGCATGAAAAACACAACCAAATATACCTGAATAGTAAAAAATTGTAATAAAATACACCCAAATTGCATAACTAAACAAAGTACGGAGTATATTACAATATTTAAAAACTCCAAAAAGAGTAATTAATTCTTTGATAACTAATTTACTTTTTGTCTTTATATATCTTAAACCTTATCCTAGAGTGGTAGGTATGTAAAAATTATGAGCCCGTTTGATAACACTTAAATTAACTAAATCTGCTTATTATGTTGAAATGTATGAAGTTCTGGCTGAAGTGGCTGAATTAGCCGATTCTGCAAATTTATGAAAGAATTTAAATATATGAGTATTTTATTAATATAATGAAGATTTTTTTTATAAATAATAACTAAAATGGTATTCTACAATAACTTCAGTCAATCTAGCCATAAAAGCAAGTTCAACCTTAATTGTTTTGATTATTATATCATTCAACGCACGAAATAAATAGTTATATGTTTGATAAAAAAAAGTTGGCTGATAAGACTGATAAGTCGAAAAATAGGTTCACCAAACGGGCTCTATATTTTATATGGATTTTTTAATTTGTCTCTTTATATATCTTAAAACCTTCTCCAAGAGTGATAGCTATGTAAAATTATACTACATATGTATTATTTTATACTCTGTATGACTTTCGTAATTCTTAAATCGTAATTCTTACATTTTAAATTATACTACATATGTATTATTTTATACTCTGTATAACAATTTAACACAAATACACCATAACAATTTAACACATACTAATAATACAATAATCAATACTCAAATTACTCAAGTAGTTAATACTCAATAGGGTCCCTACTCAATAATACACTTCCTTTACTTCTTTACCAATAAACCTGAACTCCTGAGGCATAATGAGTACGGAGGATTCTTTTATGGGGCATTGGGCTTATATATACGGAGCACATCATTTTGCTTTGGGCTGAGTGAAGTTGGGTGGGGGCATTTGCATTTTTTATTGGGGGCAATTCTATGTAATAAATTTTTTCCTACTATAATATATGGGATTATTGGGAGTTTATTGGGGGCAGCTGCCCCCATAATGTAGCTGTGCATCCGCCCCTGGTCTTGTCTAGTCTGGGACTGAAAACAATCCAAAAGAAAACATCCTAAATCATTGGGTCCAATACATTTACTTTATTTTTGTTGTAATACATTTTAATGTATTTATTTCAAATCGTTGAAATTAATCAACACTTAATTCCATTGTCGTCTATGTGTAGATGATACTCGTACTAATACTCTATATTGCTACAATGTTATACGTAGTGCATATTTTCAGTGCGAGAAAACTCATATCACATCAACAATATGTTCTCTCCTACCTCGAAGAATTCAGGCCATATCTATCCATTGTCTCCTCAAAAAATAATAGTCTTATCTTTGAATGGTGGTGAGAGACTCGTATAATATGTTAATCGAAGGACATCACACATACTTCTGTCGATGGCTTTGAAACAATGTTTGTATAACATTGATGCCTCATCCCATATAATCAATGTGCACCCAGATATCAATAGGACCAACAATGTCCTCTCTTTGCACCAAAATAATGCACCACAATGGGTGGGTACGTAATTCAGATCACCAATGTTCCAAATATCTGCACGCAAAAAATAACATTATAGATACAACATTGATTTAGTACAGATTAGTATAACTTATTACAAAACAAACTCATAGAAGCCTAGGCGAATTTAGGCGAGACATAAACGTGAAAAGGTGTTTTCATCATAGATTTAATTCATCTACCGCCACTAGTTAGAACTTAAATGTAGCATTACATAATTTTATGCAACAATGACGTTACCTCCTAAATTTCCAATAAAAGTACATTTATAATGTTCTAAGAACACAATTTTTAATTGAATACTTTTAATTGGTCTGTGATATGAGTTTTCACGCACTAAAAATATGTAGTGATAAAGGATAAAAGTACGAGTATCGTCTCCACAGGGACAGAAAAAGAGAACCAGGAATTAACTAAATTCAATGATTAAAATAAATAAAATAAATGCGATATGCAAGATTTGATTGTTGGAGAATTAAACTAACGCGAAAAAGTAGATAAAATTAAAGAGTTCTTTCTAATTAATGACGGAAGGGAACATGGATTGATTCCAGGGTAATCATATTTCTGGATGTTCAAACTTAATCAAATGAAAATTATTTAATTGAGCAATGCTAATCAATACTAAGTTCTTACCGCTCTCGCGGCGTAAAGTACAATAATTTAGGGAACCAAGCTGATCTCTCATGCGACACATAGCTAAATTATTGCCAAAACGAGTGAGCATATGGCCCCTTAATCGTTGCTAATCTCTTAGGGAACGATTAAGTGGATGTGAAGATGTCCTAAAAAAATTAGATCTCTTTTAATTTATTCTACAAGCAATTACTCCAGTTTCAATAATAATTCTAACTGCAGTTCTAAGTTACAAGAGATATCAATTAAATCATTCAAACACAAATTAAACAACATTCATGCAATTAATCCATCAAGAAAATAGACCTAGATCATGATTAACCCCTTCATCAATCCCAAATCCGTAATTAAAACTACTCACAATTCATAATTGAACAATCAACAGAATTGGAGTGAAAAGATTTAATTGTCATTAATTAAAAAGATGGAACTTACAAATAATCCCAGGGTCTTGAATAACAAAGCGGAAAAGTATTCAAAATTTCGTCCTAGGCCTCTCTCTAAGCCCCGTAACCGTAAAAAGGGCTTTACAGGTTGTTTTAATAAAAAACATATCAATTCGGGTCGAACTAGGACTGCAGGGGAGCCCACTCGGCGTGCGGGTTAAACCCGCTCGATGTGCGGGTCTATCGTAGAAATTTCTTAAAATACGCCTGCTCGGCGCGCGGGCTTTCCAGTGATTACAAAATCATCCCGCACGACGTGCGGGAAAGGTCACGTGGCGTGTGGGTTTAACGTCCAAATTTTCTGAACTTCTGCCACCCTCGCTCGGCGTGCGGGTCTTGTCCGCGTGGCATGCGGACCTTCCAACTTGACTTTTTGGCATTTTTACCCCTTTTCGTCTGTGATTGCTCCTGTGCTTGATTCTTTGGCTTTTTTAATTTTGACTATAAAACCTCATCTTTAACACCTCGTTGACCTCCAATTCTCCTAATCAATTCTCAAATGCGTCTTAATTCTCTCGATAACTTCTCAAATGCCAGTGTCGGGCTTAACTCCCTGAATTTGACTTGAAAAATACTAAAAACACACTAAGACCCGGTAAACTATGACTTGAGCTAATTCTGAGACTTGTGACACCTTTAATATTAGGAAAAACATCCAAAGGCGAACTCAGCACGCATCAAATGTGTGTTGAAATGCGGATTTATCAAATTCGCCCACACTTAAGATTTTGCTTGTCCTCAAGCAAACTGAACTTCGGGACTTACAATAATCACGAGTCGACATTAAACCCATTAGCATGCACATGCAGTTAAATGGATACTCACATAAAAGACAGACTAAATTAAGAAATTTTTTCACTCTTTTACTCGCCTGTGTAACTAATGACTTGAGTTTATCTTGAGCACGCGTGACCCTTTCCTCTTTACCCCTTGTGCATAGTGTATTTTTGGTCATCGAGGGCGATGCCAAAGTTTAAGTGTGGGGGAGTGAATTGGGCATTCTGGCAGTAGTTGTTACATGTGATTATTAGAGTTAGCATGCGCAGGTGTTAGTTGTATATTCATAGGAAATTCATGTCAAAATTTATGAAATTTTTTCTTTAAACTGTGTCTTTGTGAACTGGCTAGCATTTTGACTATGCTTTTACAATGTCCTTGAAGTGTTTAGGCTTAAATTGCATGCACTGTAATCTAGTTGTTGAAAGGATGAAGGCATTAGTCACCCATTAAATTTATTCATAAATCATCCATCCCACCCGAATAAGTTCCTTTAGGAGAAGCACTGTTCCTATGCCCCAAATGGGGTAAGAGCAGTCACTTTTTAGGAATTTGATACTTTCGAGGATTGCATTGTTAGGCATGGATTCACTTTGAATAAATGAACTGTAATTGCTATTTTTCCTTGGTGAGGCCGAGATTAGAAAGGGGTAATGTCTAGTGAGAATCCGAAAGGTGAAAAATTATTATAGCTAGACCTCTTATCTTGCGAAAAAGAGAATGGGAGCCCCGGTCAAAAAGCATATGATGAGACTTGGGTATCTTTCGAAAGAAATGGCGTTCTCGTGCCAACATGACAAGGAAAACTGAACATAAATTAATGAACTTGGAGGCTATTGCAAATTAGCTTTAGTCCTTCGCGTACTTCAAGTATATGTCAAAGCACCAATGTGCCGCGACGGTTTAGCTTAGTTGTACACCATGTCTACTCTTTGCACAAGTTTAAATGATTTTTCCTAAATTGTGTCCTACTAAGTTCTTTGATCCTAAGAATAGCCCCGAAATACCTGAATGCATCAAGTCTTTGTTAGGATGTTCCAAACTCTCAAAAAAGGGACTGTTATTGTTTATCATTTACCATCCACCACCACCTTCACAAGTCCTTCTGATCAATAGCTAGGTTAATTGTGTACGCTTTCATTACTTTGAGGGTGTTGTGAATAAATTTGTCAAATAGTTTAGCTTGAATACAAAGATGTAGTTTAGGTTAGAATTTTCTTGGTTTGGACTGTTTGTTCTGTGAATATCCTTGTAACTACTTGTGCATGAGAACTATCTTAATTCCGTGTGGTGATTATCGTAAGCCCCGTTGTTCGATTTGCTTGAGGACAAGCAAAGGCTTAAGTGTGGGGGAATCTGATAAGTTCGTATTACAACACACATTTGATGCGTGTTGGGGTCGGATTTTGATAGTTTTCCTTGCTTTAAGGCGTTGCAAGACTCAAATTTAGCTCAAGGTATGGTTACCAGGCTTTGGGTCGAGTTTTGTTGTATTTGGAGTCA